ATTTCTGAGGGGAGAAGAGGTAGAACAGCATTTTTCAAGTAGAAGGTTGACTGTAGACTGAAGAATAGGGCATTGTTCTTTCCTGTGTGGAGGCTGCTGTTAAATTCAAAGGTTCTGTCTTCCTTGTTTCTCAGGAATTCTAACTCCATCCCACAAAGCTACAGCTTCTTCAAGGAACCTTAAAGGCTAATGATGTCAGATAAATCATTTTTGTGAAGATGCATTTTCCTAAACTTGCTTTTATCCTGTTGACAGCTCTGATACTTTGATATTTTGACTGCAGGGATGCTTTGCTCTTCATTTTGATGGGTCTGGGATCACTGATTCTGGTAAAACTTAAGCCCAAAAGCAGCACATCTGAGACACTCTTTTTTTTTTTTTTTTTTCCACCAGATCTTTTGTATTGTAAAGTAAACTTTAATACTGGTTCGGGTTTTTTTGTTTGGTTTGGTTTTTTTTCCTCTTTGCTCAGTAATTTTATAAACTGCTTAAGGAACTTACACAGCTTGCGTTCAGACTTTGTTTTTCTCTGGCGTGTTTTCTGGCTTCTAAAGAAATATTGTCACTGAACTGCAGATGTCACTTGTGCCAATGCACACATAACACTCCCTTTCCACATTGTTTCCCGTGGCTTTTCAAGTTCAAAAGCTCTCTTAAGTTGCTTAGAAAGATCCTACTTGATGTAAAAGCAGTAGGTGCCTACTTTCTCTTTATTTCATGCCTGAGGTAAGTTTGGTGCACTGAGACAGTTCCAAATATGCTTTATGTGGAATTGAAAGCAAGCCAAGCGTGATTTTACCCATGAAAGCTTCTTACTCAGCAAACTTAACGTGATAAACCAACAGGCTCTCTGCTGTGCTTTCAAGTGTGTTTTGATCTGTATCCCTCCTATGGGGTTTTAAACATGAGAAATTGCTATATATGAAGTTTAACGGACTTTGAAATTTAAAACCAAGGTCTCTCTTTTAAGAGAACTCTGATGTGTTCCCTGAAGAAGGTATTTTTATGCATAAAACTTGCCTCGAAACCTGGTGTTCCTGTGCATGAGCAGTAGAGCTCTGAGTATATTCACGCCCAGAAATGCCTAATTCTTCGCTGGGTCAACATACATTATTTGTATGTCTTGATATGGAGCACATTTCCCTTCTAAACCCTCTTAGCTTTTTTTTTTTTTTCCCCAGATACTTGCAACTTAATATATAGAAAGGAAAAACTATTTACCTCTGAATCCTGTGCTGGTGGCTTTCTGGTTTATCCTTTTCAGAGGAACTCCTGAGGTTAAGCTTCAGTGCAACCTGAGAAACTTTTTTCTGAATATCTCCCAAAGTAACACGTCCTGAGTGACTTTTCCATGAAGGCTTTTCTTCATTCCTTCTGCTTCCAGTTCTCCTGTAGTTGTCCGAGTGTTCAGGAGCGGGCAGTGCGAGAGAGAAACTTCTGCCAGCGCAGTAGACAAGGCAAATTGATTGCTTTCTGCGTGGGGAATCTGGTTCTGCCTGTTTGAAACCCAGCCTTGCAGAGGGGTGGATCCACTGCTGCCACTGCCCAGCAGCAGGAAGTGCCTTGGGAGCTGCTCCTTGGGTAGAGAGGCCTTGGGAGCTGGAGGTGGAGCACAAGTGTGAGTGCAGGGCTTGCTTTCTTCTACACCACAAGGGGAAAAAGAAGCAAGGTTAGGTGGATCCAATAGGAGATGGAAAACAAAACCCAGCCAAGTGTCTTAAAAATGTTTTAACTCCATTTTGGAGTTTGACCTAAAGCTTGAGGTGCTCAGGAGATGCATGACCTGAGCAAAAAACCATTTCACTCCCTGGGGAGCATGAGGGGGAGGCAGCTCTTTGGATGTTCTGCTTTTCCAGACAGAGCACCTTAGCCATCTTTTTGGAATGCTCATTCCATGTTGCTGCAGAGAAGATGGAAACCACTTGAGCAGAAAGACAAAGGTGACACCTTTCAAGGTATCAGAGGGTAAAAATCAGCAGTCACTGCAGGCTGTAGGACTTGAGTTGACGCTGACACTGAGCTGTGCAGCTCAGCAGCATTTCCTTCTGCCTCAGCTGTGCCTTGCAGAGTGTGCAGTCCAAGAGCCCAGCCCAGAGCACAGTTATTTAATCTTCAGGGCAGAAAGGAATAGGCTGTGGCAACAAACACTGCTCAGAAATATTTTCTTCACTTAGGTCTGGGTGAGTTGACAGCACTGCTGAGCAATGCTTGTGGAGACTGGAGGGCAGCACAGTAGGATTTTCAGACTGGAACAAAGAGATGTTAAGGGGTGGGGGAAAAATTGGAGATAATTTTTTTCAATCTTGTAATTACTTTCCACAGCTTTCTTGAATTTCATTTCATTTTTTTCCCTGCTTTATCCTGTTTCCTGGATAAATACTGAGAGGACATTTCACATTCTGGCTGGTTGGTGAGAAGACAGAGTGACACAAACACATTGAAAATATCCCAGGCCCTGTATATGGATTGACAGGGAATCTCTGCATCCAAAGTGCCACAGAACTTCTCTCTTGGAGAAGTGGGAGCAAGTTATCAGAGGAGGGGCAGGGAGAAGAACCTTATGCTCTTTTTAGCTCTGCAGGCAAGTCAGTCAAGTTGTGATTATCAGGGGGGTGTAGGGATTGTATCCCCAGGATGATGGTAAATAAGTGAACCGTCTGGACCACAAATAGTTAAGAATGAGGAAGGTGAAGAGAGACTGGACATTGGAGAAGCTGCTTTTCTCTGGTCTCCTTCACAAACAAACTCTTCTGCAAAAGATGAAAGATCATGAGGTTAATGGTGACAAGGAATGTGTTTTTTAGCTGTAGATGCAATAGAGCTTTTTCTCTAATGTTTCTTTGAAAGGAAAAACTCTCTTGGCTGTAAAATAATTAAGAATTGAAGCTCTCCTCCTGTGATTTGGGAAAATAGGAAAGAATAAGGTCTTGGACCAAACTGATGTGCTGACAAGTTCTGCTAACTCTGGAGTGAACACTGTTCCTTCCCATCAAGGAGTGTGAGAAATCCAAATCTCAATGGATGTCTATCTTCTGGAGTCCTCTTTGGTGCCAAATATCTGAGAAATTAGAGAATGAGAGCACTTCATGTAAAGATCACTCTGTGGGGTTTATTTTGCTTTCTGCTATTTAACAAAGTGTGTTTTTAGAGCCATTCATGCAAGTTCCTCCCTGGGAGCTTTAGGTTTCCCTTAGGAAGGGCAAGTTCCAAACATCCCATGTGAAGTTGTTTGGCATTAGAGAGAAATATTGGGTAATAAGGCAGACCTGAGGTGATGATGAGGCAGGGAATTGCTTATGGTTTGGGAAGTTGCAAAGTTCTGGAACTTTCACCCAGTGACTCCAACAGATTGCACTGTGTAAGTGTGGATGTAAACCAGGATGGTCTTTGACATCTTTTTCACTGTAAATATAATTGCTTTCTCTACAATAATTATTAAGGAATTAGTTAGCTTTTGGAGATCTGGGAGTGTCTCTTGTGTCAGGGTGCTCAGGGTTTCTTTTGGTCTTTTCTGCAGGCTGGCAAACAAGCAGGACAGAGAAGGAGCTCTGTCAGAAGCAGATGTGATCGAGTCCTTGTCTCTGGAAAGGCTTGTCAATGAACACAAGTGTCTCTGTCAAATTGTAGGTATATTTGAACATGCTTCATTTTCTAATTTCTAATGAGATCTATATGTAAAGCTTCCAGTAAGGTAGAAACTCAAACCCTTCCAGCCCAGGAAAGATACAGCCCATGTATCTCTCCTGCAAGAAATTCTGCTGCTCACCTTGATGTTCTAACAAATGTTTGCAGTGGGGATCCTCAATATTGAATTGCTGGTCTGTTCTGAAACCATGTAAGAATAATGAAGTTACTGATGTGGTTTAAAACTTGTTTAGTTGAACAGCAAGTTTAGTATTCCAGCTTTTTTAAAAAGAAGCAGAAAAGGAATTTGCCTGCGTTGACATTCAGGAAGGATCACTGTCCAGATGTGATTTTGATCTTGGCCAAAACAAGGTTTGTAAATCTTTCTGAATTTAGGGAATGCATAAATACAAATTTCCTTCCCATACTTCTCAGTGTTTTGCAGTGAACAGGAATTGCTCAGCTAATTCCTTGTTTCCAGTCGAGGAATGTGATCTGAACTGCAAATACTTTTCCCCTCCTTCCCCTCACATTTACAGGAACCTTGCTCAGCTATCATGGGCTATGGGAAAAAAATTGACAAATCAATCAAAAAGGGGTTATTTTGGCTTCTACACATCATAGCCAAAGATTTTGATGCCTTAAATGAGCGAATCCAAAGAGACACCACAGAGCAAAAG